ACACCAATTTAAATTGTGACCTCAGGTTTTTTCCAGTTGTTGCATCTTTCCAGCCATTAATGTGCTTCTGTGTCTTTCCAACCTTTAATGGGTTTCTGTGTATTCTTCTCAAAATGTTTGAGACATCTCTGTGCCATACATGGTGTGGTTGCTGATGTTTATCATTTTACCTTTCACATAAAAATTAATACAATAAAGAAAAAAAGAACTGTTCATATGATGAGTATCAGTAGTAATCAGCTATGACTAACATTACTACACTCATGCTGAAGACATCTAGAATGGCTTTTGCAGAAGTCTAGAGGGAATGCTGTATGCCGGTCAAAATGACTCCACATGGGGAGATGGACAAAAACCCAACATTTTGGGTCCGTACTAAAATTTTGACTTTTGTGTAAATTTCCCCCACTTTTTTAAGAAATAAAAATTAAACATCCAAACAAACTAAGAACTTGGGAAAAATTTGTGAAATCTGTTATTTTTATATCAGAGTGACAGAATATTTCATGTTTATTATATTGCAAATGACCTCAATCATATTCCCATACCTCCATTGCCGACTTCATGATTACATTTTACTCAATGTTTTTTTTCTCTTCTTCTTCTTTTTTTTCCTTGCACTAGTGGTTTTAATTAATCCGCAGCTCAAAATGTAGAAGGTTAGAGAGGACAGGGAAGCACATGCAGTAAATGGCCTGGGGTTGGGAATCGAACGTGGGACAACTGTAGCAAGGACTGTAGCCTCTATAGGGTGCATTTGCTCTACTCCTGTGCCCCACATAAGGACAAAGATAATCATGAACAGAAAGGAACTGGCTGGAGAATAAAAAGGCCAATGCACCACCACTTTTGCCTTAAATAACCAGACTGTTGAACTTTTGTTGTTTCTCTGTTGAGACAATGAGCTCAATGTTTACACTGTAGTACGTGATTAAATGCAATTTTCATTTACTATTTAACAGTACAGTTGCATTGCTGAATGAGACTGAGTTGGTGAGGTAAAGGGCATGTTTTATTTTAAGAGTGATGTCTGCTTATGTTTGACGTTATTGATGATTTTTTATTTTATTTTTTTCAAAACTGGCTGACCAATTTACTGTTATTGTAATAAGCATCCCATGACACTAAAATAAAATACTTTGGTGGCATGTGCACGTCAGGACAGTTTACTCCTGACAATGCTGTGCTGCATAATACTCTAGCTAAGTGTACAATTAATGTTAACATGTTTTTTTCTTTGTTTTGATAGAAGTCATTTGACTGGCATCATATTTTAATGCGATTCAAGTTAATCATGAGCAGACAAAACATACATAAAGTTATATTATTAAACATTGCTTCATAAACTTCTTTGTCATAAAATTTGATCATTTTCATGTTTAATAAGACACTGACAGATTAGCAGTAGTCCATTTTTCCCTATCAATGTCATAGTGAAGCATAAAAACAACCTGAGACAAAGCCTATATTTGTTAGATCAACGACATCATATGCACAGACAAATGTCTTAACAGGCTGCAAACATGCAAACAGGCTTTGATTTAAATAATCTGTCCACACAAACCATGACCACAAAGTCTGCTGAAGGAGTGGCTGACAAAATCACAGACCAATGGCATGCATCTGAGCTGGGTTTTGTAAGAGTATTTGAAAAAGTATGTTTTGGCAACCTGAAAACCCTAGCTGGAATCATTCCAAGAAATCCAAAAGTTTTATTGTTGGAAATGTAAAACAAGGGAAACGGTACGCTTCAAAGGTATTGTGACATTTTACTGCTATGGGATCATAAAACATCACAAAACTTAGACAGGACTAAGCTTTAGCTTACATTTTTAGCAACAGTTTGATTCAAAGGAAAACTCAGGTCTGGGTTATGTTGACAATGAGGGCTTATTAATTTGTTTTTATATACAGCAAAACACTTGGCTGCAGAAGGAGAAACAGCTGCACAAAGGTATCAAGATGTAGGGGATAAAAACTTTATATTCAGAAAAGCCACAGTAATAGTATGATGTTCAAAACAGAAACAAAAAACAAACTAGGTTGCAAAAGAAAGAAAGAAGCACCAAAGAAGAACAGAAGAGAAGATGACAATGTGGCAAAGGTGGAGCTAAATCCCCAGAAGTACAGGGATTGTGGATTGTTTTTTCATTGTAAAAAGAAATTTTATGTCTAGTAGCAAGACAAAAGTACAAGAGTTTACAATTAAATTTTAAGCAGTTGTGAATTCATTTGCTCAATTAAAAATAAAATTGTGTATGAGAGTAATTTCAAGTCATTGTCATATATAGTTTTTTTTAATGAATAGAAAAAAAAAAAGAAAAAAAATCAGGTAAAACCGACTTATGTGCCAAGTTAGAAAATTTAGAAATGTGGTCCAGAAATCTCACCTGATGGCACACATTTCTCAGAATAGCTGTAGCTGTCAATGCTTGTGCAACATTACTGTGTTTCTGCAGGATGCCTTTAGCTGCATGATGTGCATGATTTGACCTTCTGGCAACATTTGCCCTTTTAAAATGGCTTTCTGCTGTGCAGGATATCCTGAGAAGGTTAGGTATGCCTGATGGGTTATGGTGGAGTAGTATGATAGATAACAGCGCCATGAATGCCCGTCACAGAACAAGATTTTTTTGTATGGGTGATTTACATGGCCCTATTGCGTCCCTGGAGCTTTTCGAATCTTGCAGAATAATGAAACTGACAACTCTTATTCGTTTGCTTCCCTGTGTAAAAAGAGCTTATGCAATGCAGAAGTCTGTGTGCAACAGTCATATAATCCCTTGAGGAAATACCATACAGAGTTCAGTTGTATCTGGTGCCTCTTGGCATTGGCAGAAAATAGAATGACTGTTATTGGAAAACTACACACCAACTGCTGAAAATGAATGGAAAATAAATGTCAAACTCTTGATATAAATACATAGATATAAACCACTGTAGGGTAGAAAGATAGAAGTCAATTCAAATAATAATGTGTGTTCCTTCTCCTGGAAAATACCAGATTGTTTCTAATTTAGATACAACATAATTAATGATTAGTAAGATGATAATACGTCTAAACCACTTTGTGCAGTAAAAGACCTGAAGCACTTCCAGTTCAAATGCTAATTCTGACAATCAAATTTAGTTCTGTACTTTTACATAAATATCATATTTTGTAGAGTTGTTATGAAAGGCTCATCTGTTAAATATTAAAATAAGGTCAGCAGTAATCAAATATGAATACTATTAACATTGATACATTCAGCTCAGAACCCAAAAGGATACATGGCGCTTCAACAATATATTAAACCAATCAAAACCTTTTTTTTTTTCACAAAAAGAGTAATGGTTGGACAAATGACAAATTGTGTTTTAGAAGGCGCTTTAAAAGATGATAGATTATTCATGTCCAGTTTGATCTTTGTGTACTCAATTTGTTTTCTGAGTACTCAATTTAGAATTATTTCATCATTATAATGTCATAATAATAATTGCGAAATTATGAGTTTTTGATGTCCATAAATAAAGGTTTCACACATCACAAACTGTGTTTTCTTAATCTTTTTTAATCAGAGGCTAACTTCAGCACCGGTGTATGAAAATATTTGTTTACAGTCCCTACAAACATTTTTGGACTACTATCAAGAATGGGACTATGCAGACTGTGCTTTTAGGCTATTCTGTGCTACGGTGCTGCTGCACAAACTGTAAGTGAGGGGAGCAAATTCAATACAAATTTATCCAAACACAGTAAGGCTAACTATAATTTCTTTATAAGAGAAAACTTCCAGATGACAAATATCATTGTGTTTTACTGTCACAGTACCTTGTTGCTTGAGTTGTTGATAATGAGACCATTTACATTTTGTCTGTTGCCTAACTCATTTGTTCCCTCTCCCTTCAGGAAAGACATTATGTTCACATTATCTTCATTCTTTATTATGAATTATTAAATATTTCTCATCACATATGTAAAAGGCCAGGGTTATTTGACGGGTATAACTATTAATTAAAAAAAAAAATCCAAGCTTGAGGTCCTAAGATTTTTAAAACATTTAATGTTCTTCTCTACCTCTATTTCTAAAGTACTGTATTTTCAACAAATTCTGAAAATCAGATGTAAGGTTGACATATTGGTCTATTTTCACCTAAACTTTCTTTAAGTGCACAGATAAATACTTATTATGTTGAATAGTTATGTGTATACTAAGAGATCACATGAGCACTTCAATCAGGCTTATACATAATTAATTGTAGGATGAATAACGAGGGCATCCTCTAACTCAGTCAGCACCTTTCAATTATTAAAATCTAAGCACCAACGATTTAAAAGGACCATGTCAACAAATTTGCTTAAATACTTGAACAGGTTTCATAAAAAAAAAGATTATCACAGACAGATTTTAAAAAAAGAAATGGCTATTTTTTACAATATGTGTCATTTTTATTTATCATTTGCTTTAAATGGATAACCTCCTAACAAAGTTAATCTTCAGGAAGGGTGAGCAGGTCAAACACTCAACCACCTGACTGGTTGCTATCACTTGACCTTCACACAATATATTAAGCTGCATGACTTGACTTGAAAGTCAAGGACTCTGAGGCTCAAGAGGAATCAGTCTGTCTTCATAATACTGGGAGTTTGCAGCCTCTGCCACAAAGAAAATAAAGACGACATATTTTATTAAGGATACAAGAACCTTACTCATTTCATAAAAAAAAGATAATATATTGCATGAGATCAAGAATAACATAAGCCCAGTACAAGCTGTGATACGAAGGACTTGGATGGTTTGCAAAAAAGCATAACCTAGGCTACCGGTCTGGAAGATTTAACACTCAGAGAGACCACAGATTTACAAATGCTTAAGGCAACATAACCTCCTTCTCTGAGCAACAGATCTGACTTGTTTAATATATTTTTCTGAGATCTGGTTAACAGAAGGACACAGGATGAAGGAGATGCACCTAAATGTTTCAATTAAAGTCATTCTGTGAAGCAAGAACTAACTTACCTGTTTTTTCAAAGTTATGTTTGATATTGTCATCCTTGCACATGATGTCTGCATGTCCTCCAATGCCAACATTAACTCCATATTCATCGAGAATCTTCCCATCGTTGAACTTGTGGAGCTGGTTGGGTGTGGAGTTAAGTGAGTGTCCAACTCCATCCTCTTCATCACAATCGTAGTCATCGAGAATAGGAGTCTCGCGAATCGGCATTCCAATGACGGAGCTGCCATGCTGGTGAGTGCCCCGGGAGCCCCGGTAACTGTCACGGCCCTGCGGACCCAGCAGGACAGAGGGGATGTAGTGGATCTCATGGGTGGCTTCTGTGCTGGCACTTTTTTGTGGGATCCGGCGACGTTTACACCATCGATGACGGGTATACAGGACCAGGGTGAAGAGGAGAATTAGGAGGAGAAGGGCAATGAGTCCCCCCTGAAAAAAATAGAGGAAAACGCAAAATGTGAGGAAAAAAATATCTAAACACTGAAGGATATATAGCTTCAGGACAAATTATGCGCTAGTTTCATATCGTAGCCAGAAATACCAAACTGACCTAAAAAGACTATTTGAATTTCTATTGTAGCAACCACAATTGCGGTCCACAAATGCTGTTTCGATATCAGATTTGTAATAAATAAAATAAATTTCACTAAGAATCATTCAGATTACAGTGACGGTTAGTAATGATGGGGTGTACATTAATTTCTGGTTACAAGTTTATATTTACAGCAACTCAGACATGAATATTCAACAAATATCTTAATAACCTTTGTTCTTCAAAAAAGAACTGAATTCATTATCACTGGAAGACATGTTGCATATCCAGAAACTGGAACATTAATCCAATTTTGCAGTTGTGTTATGAAGAGTGATCTGGTAAGTTTAATTAAAAACTTTTTTTCGAATAAACATAATAAAGTCATTGTAATACAATGAGAGCAATCAAGGATGGCAAATATTTGTGAACTATTTCCAAAAAAATTAAGCAAATTAAGAATGACACAGAGCATTCCTTTGTAGCAATGATGATGTTAGCAAGTCATTAGGAAACACATTTTTTTGCACATGCAAACCAGAGAGTTATTGTGCAAAATATATAATAGCTTTGGTACTTTAAATTAACTCTCTTAATGTTTAAAGTATTCCCATCCAAATGTTACATTCACACACTTCTAAGCATAATCTAGAAAGAAAAAGAGAAAAGGTTTTAAAAGTTGCAAAAATAAAATCTGAAAAAAGAAAAAAAAAAAGTTTGTATTCAGCCCTGAACAAAACAAAATCCAGAGAAATCAATTATCTTCAGAAGTCCTCTAATTAACAGTCTATACCAGTGTGTATAATTATCTCCGTATAAAAAGAGATAGTCTGTGAAGGACTCAGAACGAAAAGAACATTAGGAATAAACAGCATCATAAATACCAAAGACTACAGCAGAAAAGTCAGGAATAAAGTTGATATATTTGTTCTTATTTATTCCTTCAACAAATGTTATCTCCTAGAGCCAAAGGGATATACATGTAGTACATAAAGGCCTTACACAATCACATTGAACATTATTGCTGTAACTTGATAACATGTAAAAAGGTCCAATGAGTCTAAACACTGGCCCTTAACAGTGCCTGAATATACAACTACTTAAAATGCAAGGATTTTAGCAATGAAGGGATTGTCCTAGTCCTTGGAGTATTTCTACTCCCAGAAGAGTATAGTGAGGCAGAAATGAATGTCTTTGTAACAGTGCTATATCCAGTTTTTTTTTTTTCTTGTCACACACTGTTGCCCAGTGATTGCTTGTCTGCTTTGCCCTTTCTTTCTTCTCTAAGCCCAGACTTTAGCCCTGTAGATTCACCAGGGAGCATCACATTTCTCCATGGTTCATTCGATATGTGGCCATCACAGAAACATCAAACATCCCACCATACATGCAGCGGTTAGAAAATAAATCTATATTCAAAGACAGAGTGGTGGAAAGGGAGAGAGGGCAAGACTTATTCTTTGATTTTTCACAATGGCATCCAACGGGTGTGACGTGATATTGGATTCTGAAAGACAAGGCAACCTAGTGATTTATTTTTAATAAATCACTTTGCTGAAAAAGCGACCGTCAGCACTTTTGCAGCCATACATTTAACATTGGAGATGTATTTATAAGATGATATGTGCACATGCACAAGAGAAAAAGGCTGGACACGGGGAACACATATGCATGCGTGCATCAGCTCTTGGCTACTCTACATCAAAGCAGAATAATAAATACAAACTGCAAGGGTTCATTCATCACAACATTTAAAATTCCATCACCATGAGGAAAAACAAACCCCTTTCAAATTATAGCTCCTGCGCTCCTAGGTGTTCATAAATCAAATATGCTGAGAGGTTAGGCAGTACAGAGAGGACTTGTATTACGGACAAACTTGTCCATTAATCTCCAGCAGGACAGCAGCTCTTCTGGTATGTAGTCACCAAAATTCTCCTTGTATTCTGTATGTCTTCTTTAGTTTTCTTTGAAACAAAAAGCACATAAAAATACAGTGGCCTATAGTATCTTTTGGTAACAGCGATGTAATAGATCATGCCTCTGAATTACAATAAAAGATAAAAATATATAATTTTTGTGGGTTTTTTTTGCATAGGCATTGTATTATGTGCCGTATCTCAATAAAAATATGAGATGTGAGTCTGGCTTTAGGATACAATGGTATATGGTGGAGTGAAGCAGCATATTTAATGTCCATCTGTCAGATCCAGACTGACAAGTTCTCCAACAAACATGCAACATTTCAGTGTAACCATTACAATTATTGTGTTTCATAATAAAGCTGGTAGACTCTCTCAAAGATCAATGAACTTATTCCTGAATAGTATTTAACTCTGGGACTGGAAGAGAATAAAATAAAATGGATTGTGAAGTCTCTGTAAACAAACTTGCCCTTCAAAATATATTGGTCATTAGGCACAGAGAGGAAAACAGCCAATACAAGTGTAAACTTACTACTGTCAAATATTTGCAGCATTTCTTGAAATGCTGGATTAATGGGCAAAATTACTTTGACAATTAAAAGCAAACTCTTAGTGTGCACTAACACAGTTCGGCTTTTCGCATTTTGTAATCGCGGACTGACAGCAAGACGGAAACGGGCCATGGGTGATAGTTTTTTTTTTTGTTTGCTTTTTTTACAAAAGAAATATTCAACAGATGATTATGTTCTACCATGAGCCTGGCAGGTAACTAATGTCAGAGTTCACTCTCCCTTTTGGTCTCAATACACAGGAGGCAATGTCATCTCCTCTCCATTCATTTCCTTTGGACTTGCGAAATTCGACCATGTGAAATTTTGAGCTCGTGCAAATAGGCGAGCACATGAAGGCTGACAATGAGACAGGAAAGTTGAGAAATGTTCAAGTATTGTCACTGTCATTGCTGTGGCGTTATGTCCCATGTGTTAGGATAACCCCCAGTGGTAGAAAACTGATCCTTTTTATTGTTGCTTGGTAGAAACAGAGAAACGGTGAAAACAAACAAGCATGCAACTGGGAATTATCTACTTTATCTACTCATTTGAATTTATCATGTGACTGACTGATTTATTGCGTAGTGCAACAGCCCGACTGGTAATTGTAGGTATTTTTAACATTTTCAACACGGAACATTAAAGCCTACAACAGCCTCCATGTGTTTTTCTGAGTTAACTCGACAAATGAATATCTGATGTCAATTTTACAATACAGAAAAATTCAAGGAATATGAATTATATGAGTAAATTTGAAATATAAAAAAATGAGAAGTGATGTTGGTCATTCCCACATTTGTTCTCACTTCTAATGAGCATTAGGTGCATTTTGTGAGAACATCAATACTGAGAATTTTGAAGAAGCTTTAAACTTTCTACATTTAATTTGGCTGGCTTTCCATTCTTACATTGAGAATGAGTACCACAGAAACAACAAAATAACTTTATTTGACATTCATAAGTTTTTGGGGTTTTGACAGTCAATTTGGCCTTATCTAGAATAAATAAACATCAACATCATTACATTTGAGGCATGCAATTTTGCGATGGTGGTAAAGCCCCAGAAACATCCTGCTAAAAGCTGCTTGGTAATCCAGAAGTGAAAACATATTTCAAACCACTCTATATATGTAAACCATTTACAACTATAGTAAATGCAATTTCTTTGCTGCAGTATCCCTGAAAACCAAGTTAAAGTTGTAAAGTTTTTTTTTCATACAACACTGCCTTCAAGAATTAATTGTCCTGGTAAGTTTATGCTTTTTTTTCCTCTAGGGTCCCAGTTTGTTTCTCTTACTTCTGTATATATCTTGGACTACTTTTGTTCTGTCTCCCTTATCACCATTCCCCTTCCTGTTTGATCCCATCTTCAACAAAACAGCCAGGTAAACTCATGTTGGCAGATGTAACCATGAAAGATTTTTTTCTGTTCATCTTCAGACCTGAGAAATCTCTGCAGCTTTAGTCCTAAGTGATTTTATGGGGGAAAAAATGCCTGAAAGCTCCATATATTTCTTCCTTGCTCCATTTCCTGCAGCTTGATATTTTTCCTTATAGTGATTCAATTTCGTATTCAAATTACACTATATGGTCTTCTGGTTACCTTTTATTTTCTCTCTGCACCTTCACACTTTAGCTTTCCATTAACTGTGCCGTCATCTCTTACTTTTCACTTTTTATTACCCAACCTTTTCACGATGCTTCCTATAAGATCCCATTTCCTTCTTATGTTCAAATGGTTCTTCCAAAGACAAAGCTAAATACAAATTAAAATTGTAACTCTGAAATAGCAAGCAACATGTATATTTCTGAAAACAAAATTTTGCTAACTAAGAAACAGTGGCTCTTAAACATGAACTAACTCCTGTTAAATGCCTGGATTTTGTCATAAGAAAAGAAAAACATATTTTTAATGATTTTTTTGTTTGTTTGTTTTTTTTTAAAGAAAAGCAATATATTTATTTTAAGCAATATAAAAATATCTGGAATATATTTTGAGAATATTTGCAAGGCACAAATTCTAAAGTCAAGATGTTGGATGTCGATAGAACCTCACCAAAGATGACTGACTGCTAACGTTTCCTCAACAGGCTTTGTGTAAAATAGTATATCCTTGCTGTGATATAAAAACATTATTTCTGTTTCTCCTCCTTTCTTTCACATCAACTCATACAGTTGATGTGTAATACTATTTTTATTTTTGAACAACCTGCAATTTAGGAAAAAAAAAGTTAAAAAAGGGATAGGGACAAACAAAAATCTTTTCCTTTCTCATCAACAATCGCTGCTTTTATGATCCCGCCTGATAGAATACTAACTCCACACAGGATAATGCCAATAGGTCAAGACTTCCAAAGCAAAAACTCATTATACTCAATCAATAAGCTTGAGTGGAGTTAATCTAAAATAAAGGCATTCAAT